TGTTTTTGACATGCATAGTACAATGGTTGATTACACTTGATATGGAATGACCCATATACATATATCCATATATCTATAGGTTAAGAAAACATAACCTCGAAAATCAAGGTCATATGTAAGGTAAGAAAAAACACATTAATTATTTCACTGAATTTAATTTAATTGTAATATTTATTTAAGTTCAAGATTCAATTTTATTATTAATTTAATACTTCTTTTTTTTAAATGACATATAACAAGTTTACTTAATGTATTCGGCCTATGGCCAAACTTACAAGGATTATTCCGCTTGCCATGCGGTGAGCAAACATCACTTAATTATTTTCAAATATTTTAATTCTTATTTTATGCCAATCTGGCGAGAAATGGAAATTATAAGTCACTGGGACTTACGGTTAATTCGACGCCGTCCCCGCATTGCGCCTCGGCTAGACATGGTCAACTTGATATTCCTTTTTTTTACTTTTAAAAACTTTAGCGTGCTGCCTGATCCACAATCAAAACGAGAATAATTAAATGGATGACCTTTGACTCTAGTCGGCGTCACCTTTTACGCTTTCTTTTTGATGGTGAGTCCCAGTGAAAGTAATTAATAACTTTCTATTTGTCGATAATAAATATATCACGCGTCGATAAATTTCATCGATGTCGCTGGTAAGGTAGATCGCAACTCTACCAGAGGGCGAAGTGGTGTCCTCTATTCAAAATGGTTGCTCCCATTATTGTGACAGGATCAAAACAATCAATATTCTTTCGGCTTCCTGGTGCTCTTGAATATTTAGGAATCTCATCCAAATATGTGCACCAGGAAGTACTTCCCCAGCTGACTTCGTAACAGATGAGCGACAATGGATTTGGATAACATGAAAACATTTTTTGGAACGCGAGTATACAAATTTTATTTATCAAAATAAGGCGAGAGTGATTCGACGAGTTGGCAGGTTTAATCTATTACTTTACTTTAATTTTATTATTACATTCAAATAATGACTTATTTTGTCTAATTTTTTATTTTATTTACTTTAGGAAAAAGGAAGATTACCATTTTGATGGGGTGATAATTAAATAACAATTAATTATTGCGTGTGGCAAAATGCCACGTAACAACTCTCCCCTGCCAAGACTCAGCCCAATGGGGTCGAGCAGGTAAGCCCCAGATCTCGGAGCCACCCCTCGCCAGATCAGCTCTCAAAAAAAAGAAAATATTTTATTTTTTTTTTAAATTTTAATTTTACTAGTACTACTTGTCATTATTCAAATTTTAGTTCGTTTTAATCATCGAGAATAAAAAAAAATTTTACTTAACTTCATAGAACGATTATTTTAACCATTGAATCAAAATTTAGAAGGTATTGAATGATTTCAATAATTATTATTTATTTCTACTTCTTCTCTCTATTTTTTATTTAGAATTTATATTTAACTAGTTTAATAATTTATTGTGAAGGAGAGGAGTTGGTCAGTTTGACGGGTTGACAACGTCAAGACAAAAGTTTTTTAAAAGAAAATTATTTTAATCTATAGCAAAAATATGACCTAGTTTTCCCAATTCTATTGTACTAAGATAAATAACGGTCAAAAGTGGTCTTTTTAAGATGATTAACAGTTATTTAGTTAAAGATTTATATAGATTTATTTACAAAATTATTTACAGAATCTATTTATGAGTTTTTCTAATTTCAAAAAAGATTTGGTTTTAGAATGTCAAATTTTAGATAACTCTATCCCTCTTAATTATTTATTTATTTTATAATCCTCTCTGGGATTAACTCATGGACCCCTCTGACAGGTCGCCAATTTCATTCTACTTAATACGAAAACGAACGATTGCGCAATTTTCTGCGCTGATGGGGTTCGTCTGATCTATCAGGACTTTTTACTACTTCTAGATCATTTTCCGGATCAGTATTCTCTATTTCCGGCTCAGGATCAGACCAATTTATTTCGTTTAATTCCCGATCTAATATTCGCCCTTCTTCCGAATCAGACGATTGAATGTCCTCCTCAAGCACATAATATGGTTGAAGATGGGAAGCATGATACCTTCCAGCTAACCGGCCTTCTGTCGAGGACAATTTATATACGTTTGGCGAGACTACTTTTACTATCATAAACGGACCATGAAAAGCTGGAGTTAATTTACTAACAAACCTATCCTGCCTGGATAGGTAGATAACTGTAGATCCCGACGCCTACGATTATAATATTTCGCTTCTTTAAGGAATGCTTGATCCTGATTTTGACAGATTTTCTCTTGTAAGTCATTAAGTCTGGTCATACGAGTTGTCCATTCTGCGACATCATTGTTTTGAGAACCCTATTGGTTCTCTCAACAGGGTTCGCCTGTGGGTGGTATAAGGGATTAAATAAATGATGTATTTGATAAGCCATAGTTAGGCTTTTAATAGCATTATTATGATATTCGGTACCACTGTCCGAATGCAATACATGCGGTGTACCCCAGCGATTTATTACCAATTCACGAAATGAATTTATCACAGTGGTAGCATTTGCAGTACGAAGCGGTGCTACTTCTATCCACTTCGTGAATAGATTTTGAAAAACAATTAAATATTCGAAACCTCGTGTACTCTTGGGGAACGGACCCATTATATTTGTCGCTACAACACTCCAGGGTTCATGTACTGTCTATAGCTTCAATAGCCGCGACTTTATTTTCTTCTGAATCCTCATACATTCGAGAAAGCGCGTCGGGGATATCATGCATCGATCTAACTAATCCTGCACACAACTCCTCATTATTCGATTCGACTTGACTAAAATCTACCCTGACAATCGGTTTATCTGTTGCCCACAATTTTTGATCATTAATATCAATTATTATTCCAAATGTCCGCAAAAAATCCATACCTAATATGCAAGATTCCGTTAGTTTTGGAACGATTCGTACGTTAATTTCATTTGTTAACTCCGCGAAAGTTATTGGTAATCTACTTTCATCAATAATTGGCTTTATATCACTGTTGGCTAATAAAACGCTGCTTTGTTTATTATTACGAATTTTATAGTTATTCAAATTAATTATAGATTCTCCTACCGAACCTAAATATGTTCTAGTTAAACCGGTATCTATTAGTGCTTTAATTTCTGAGTTCCCTATCCTAATATTAATGTAAGGTCTCGAATGGGTACCGTCACCGCTTAATTTATTAAGTTCATTTCCCTCTTGTCCGCTATGACAAGCTAAGTCGGGACTATTATAATTATGCGGAATAGTATCAACCGATTTAATTTTACAATTAATAGGTTCTTCAAAAACTTTATTCGATTATGATCCGTAATGATCGATGCGTTAATTTGTTATCTAAATTTTTATTAACTAGATTTTCTAACTTCGAACTAGATTCTACTGTGTAATCTTCACGAGCCTCGTTAATCGCGGTTATTTTAGTCTTATCCGATTGATTTTTTATTTTGTTGACAAGGGTCTGTAAAACTAAATTAGGAGGATCATCGACCCTAAGGTTGATCTCCTTCTTTAGTTTTCCTTACAGTAAGACGATTCACATTTATACTTCGTAGCGCCTTTTTCTCCGCATATGTGGCAGAATCTTTCCCACTCTACTGGGCATTTCCTCCACGCATGATCATCCTTACCATAAATAAAGCAAGAAAGCTCAGGCTTAGGTTCACGGAACTTTTTCCTTACCTGCGAAGACTTTTTATTTTGCGAATTATTTAAATTTGATTTATTTGCAAAAGGCTTATCGCTATTTTCTTTCTTAACAACCCCTTTTTTTGTATTATCTGAAACTTTCGCTTCTTTTTTATTCGCGGAATTTGAATTTAATTTATTAACTAAAATATCTAAAACTTTAGTCATCTTTTCCATTACTACTACCGATTCTTTATTCTCCGAAACTGAAGTTGATTTAGATTCAAAATTTCCCGAATAAGCGAATTATGGAAAAAATGAATTTCCCGGCTTCACCGGAGTTCTTTCGATTTTAAGCGACTCTAACATGCGCTCAACTTCGGCAGCTATAACAGATAATTCATTTACGGTATTAAATTCGCGCCTACTTTTTGAACGTTTCATTTCAGGGCGGAGATTAAAGTATATTCTATCTAATGCTTCAATTAATGAGACAGGCCGAGTGAATTTAGAATAGAGTTCTTGCATACTAATGATATAATTTGTAGTGGACTCATCCGGACCTTGCACTTGATTTAGAACTTGTTCTTCAAGTCTCCACTGATAATTTTTATCCCCGAAATTAGCTCGACACGCCCCTTTGAATTGGTCCCATGAGGACCAGTTATTTTTATTTAACCTAAACCACTGGAGCGCAATTCCATCTAAGAGTAACGGTGCTGCACGAAGAACATCTTCACCCGGAAGTGACGAGATCTCCATGGCATCCTCTACTCGTGATAAGAAATCCTCAACGCTCGAGGTTTTGTCGCCAAAAAATTTAATACCCTATTTTCGAACTATTGTATTTAATGGTTTTCTCGAATTAACCGACGGTTAACTTAATTTATGTTTCTCCGAAAACAATTTATTATTAGTTAAAAGATGTTTTTTTCATTTTGGCCTAAATGGCTTTTAGTTTATTGAAGAATTGACATAAAAATGTGACGCGTTTCGACACAGAATTCTGTGTCCTCATCAGATGCATTTCTGCAAAGATAAATTTTTTGTAGAATTTTTTTTCAAACGAAGATTAAAGTTCTTTTTTTCTTTCGAAGAATACATACCGACATTGTCACGTCTGTTTAATTTTGTTTATTTTATTTAGATATAATAATTTTAATCATCTGTAAAAATGTAAAACTGTAAGAACCAGCTATTACTTAAAATATTTTATCTAATTATCAAAAATTTACCTTTAATTAATTTTATTATGATATTAACTGTATGATATTAACTGAACCGACCTTTATACTTTTAGCACTTTTTATATGAACCTTGGCTTGACACCGTTCTGATTCTCAATACTAAATCTGTTTTTCATTGACCTTTCTAACCAACAAAATTGAAACACATGTCAAACATGTGTTTCAAAAAAGTTTTATTTTTAATTTTAAATTTTCCAAAAAATTTTTTAAATCAACATATATAAAATAAAAAATCTTTTCAATTCAACTTTCAAAATTAATTAAAGGTAAATTTTTGATAATTAGATAAAATATTTTAAGTAATAGCTGGTTCTTACAGTTTTACATTTTTACAGATGATTAAAATTATTATATCTAAATAAAATAAACAAAATTAAACAGACGTGACAATGTCGGTATGTATTCTTCGAAAGAAAAAAAGAACTTTAATCTTCGTTTGAAAGAAAATTCTACAAAAAATTTATCTTTGCAGAAATGCATCTGATGAGGACACAGAATTCTGTGTCGAAACGCGTCACATTTTTATGTCAATTCTTCAATAAACTAAAAGCCATTTAGGCCAAAATGAAAAAAACATCTTTTAATTGAAATATATTGGCTTTAACCTAAAAATTTTAATTTATTATTAGGATCATTTTTTCGAATTTCTTTAGTTTTCGGGTTAAAACAGTCTTTCCTAGTATCTATCCGATTAAAACTATCGTTATTTATTGGTTTAAATGCAGATTTAGTCACATTAATTTTTCTATCTACCGTTTTTTCAAGTTCCGGTTGTTTAGGTGTCAATAGACAATCATTTTGCTCTGTTGACTCGAAACCATAAGAATTATGACCGAAAATTTCTTTATCGAAATCTATTAAAGGCTTACTAGCTTGAATTGATAAATTCTCATAGTAAGCGGGTAATGAGAATTCCTGATTTGACTTTTGAATAGTCACTGATATTTTACCTGGTTTATGAGCTTCAAATTTTTCACTTAAGGGAGTACTACGACCCTAATTATTATTAAATTCATATGTATAACTTATTCTAGGGTAATAGACCGTATTCGCTAATGTATTTCCCACTGTTACAAATGAATAAGTCGAACTACTAGTTGTGATAGTAGGGTTATTCGAATTTTGAGTACAATATACTGTACTCGAAAAAGGTATTAAAATTTCTGATGTAGGAGTATTCGATATTTTCCCATTGTAAGAGAATTTTCTTCGCGTGAATCTACAACTGACCCTGAATCAGATACGTATGAGGCGATTTGTAATTCATCCGTTGGGGTCCATTTTATTTGTCTATCTCCTTGTGAAAATTTAAGATAGCGATAGGCACGATCGCGAAGGACCTCTAGTGAACCGACAGTATTAACCTTATGCGAAGCCAAGTGAATTTTTAGATTTGGCAACAAAAGGGTTTTCAAACCAATTTTCAACATTTTTAATTTTATTTTGGACTTTTTCTTTTTATTTAAATAGGAACCGGATCAATGGAAAAATAGTGAACTGTCAGAGTAAGGTCAACCAAATAAAATAAACAAGTGCACTATCAGTCCTCAATTACAAAAAAAATGAAAAATTGTTGTCAACAATATAGTCAAAAAAAAAGATTTTGTACAAAAAAAATACTCACGGTTCAATGTCCATTGGAGGAATAATGACAGGAAATAATAAAGTCAATTATTATTAATTTTGACATAATTAAAAAAAATAATTTTGTTATTTAAGAAATTCCTATTTTGTTTCCATCAGGGAGAATATCCTCTCCTGATTTAATTATAGACAAAAAAAATTTATTTATTTTTTTATCACTTGCTAAAAAAAATTGTGAAGAGACAATTGAAAAAATTTTTTTTTCGCAATTAAGAACTGAATACACAATTCAATTATTTTCATTCAATAACTTCAATTCAATAGAAGGCGGCGATGACTCAGCCAAATCCCTCTTTTAAATTATTTTTAATAAATGAAACTGATTTTTATTCAGATAAAAATCAATTTTATTTTTCACCGAATTTACTTTCGTAATTTTGATTCTCCATAATGGTAGTAAACCATGATGTTGTGAGAAGTCGTGCTTCTTTATATGTGCGACCTTGACTCATTAAAATGATTATTATCATGTATTTATTTCACTATATGGTCGTGCGTATTAAAACACGAGTTCTCACCACAAAACTTCAATAATTTATTTCACTTATTTATGAAAATGATGTTTGCTTTAAAATTAATGTATTTTTCTCGGGCCCTACTGTTGGAGTGCCATTTATAACATTTTTGCCTATTTTTTTATTATTATTATTTATTAAAATTCATTAAGTCTGAATAATTGGATAATAATAATTATTATAAATTAAATTATACTAGAAAAATGTTATCTACACTTTGAGGTTAGTTTTGAATAATTTTAATTTTATAAGGCAATAAGTTATTAGCGCCAGAATATTTTATATAAAAAATATACAAAAGTTAATTATTTATTTAATTTAAATATTTACCAGACTAGTTCAGAAAAATGTTAGGAAAACTTCCTAGCAAACCGCAGCACAGTGGGAAAAAAATGACCCTCTGTGGACAAAAATCTACCGACAACACAAATCTTAATCGATTTTAATATTTTTTTTTAAATACTCGGAGAGGTTTTTTCTGTAACGCACAACTGCACAGCATCACTAAAAGGTTGAAAAATTCCTTTAATTAAAACTAGCAACTTTGTCGTCCGCAAGCGGCCGACTACGTTGCTAGTGTGCATTAACCATATTTTTTATTCATTTTTTTTCAAAAAAATTTAATATTAGAAATGTAAAAAAAAATTTCCTTACATTGGATCTACCACCCAAGTAGCACGGAATATTGCTTGAATGTCAAGCTGATATCAACCGGGAATATTTTTGTGACATTCAGGCGATATCATAATGTCCTTTTAACGGGGACATTCCTCCGTGATGTATCTATGTTACGGTCTTTCACACAAAAAATGTAACGCGTTACAAAACTTACATTCTACATTTATTAAACCTAAATAATTCTGTGGTACTTTACTTTCATCTAAATCTTCAAAGACATTATTGCAACTCCTGCACTTTTTTTATTCCGAATATCGTTTTTACATGTCAAATTCTTTTCTTCACACATTCTTTTCATCTTCCGTTGCCGTAGAAAATTTTTTCTTCTTACATGACAAATTATTTTCTTGACACACTTTCTTTTCATCTTGAGTTTCCATTGATATTTTTCTTTTCCTACATGCCAAATTTTTATCCTTGCGTATTTTCTTTCCATCTTCAGTTTTTATAGATAATTTCTTTTTTTTGCGCTCTTTCTTTTTTATTTCTGTTTTATTACGATTACGTTTTCTCAATCTCTCATTCTCCTGTCTTATTATTTACTGCTCATATGTAACTTCGCGCCTTCCCTTCCTTTTTCTTCCCTTCTCTTTAATTGCTCGATTTATCTTTTTATCATTTTCTTTACTCAGAAAATTTTTCATTGTTAAATATTCATGTGGTAAAATTTTGTTCACAGTATTATAAGTTGTACGAATTATTTTCTTTTCACTAGTGTCATTTAAAGAATGTTTAATTTTTAACTCTTGTGTTAATAGAACTCTGTTAATATTATTACTGGGAAAAGTATTAAAAACAGAACAATAGTTTAAAATATAATTTTTATGCTCCTGAGTTCAATTTATGAAAAGACGGTTCTAATCATTCTCTATTATCGAATTCCTATTGTGAGACGTTCTTACTGTCGGAAAATGATTTATGCAATTATTTTCAAACATTGACTTCAAATGGGTTCTCATTTTGTTATTATCAGTTTCATAATTTACACGGTTTGGCATTACGGTAAATAATATAGATGTTGCAAATGCTACTGCATGTACTCCACACTCAACACTACCAAAAGGTTGTTGATCAACAGCTTCAAAAACTACTGTTGGTTGAAAAGGGAACAATCTAATTAAATATTTTATTTGCTGCACATTTAAACACCCCTTATTAAGGCTATCAAAAATATTAAGCCTTACTCTATAGTAATAGACATAAATTCAGTGACCATAATTGTTATTACTGCTAAAAAGTATTTAAATATGTTTATCTCCGTCTCTAATTGGGACAATAAAATCAAGCATTTGTACATACAAAGCTAAATTTGTACATATGCATGTAATTTAACAATTTATTTCTATTTTCAATAATTTTTAAATCTTTATCACTTAAAATAAGATACTCTCTTATGTTGGCCATATTATACTTTGTTTAATTTTTATTTTTGATTCATGAAAATCTAAATAGCTTTAACCGTTTTGCTCACTTTCTCTAATATAACCAATTTTGCCTTTTATTAAATATAACCAATTTTTTCTTTAATTCAATACAACTTATTTTACCTTTTACTAAATATAACTAAATTTTCCTTTAATTCAATATAACTAATTTTTACTTTAATCCAATATAACCAATTTTGCCTTTTATCCAATAAAACTACCAAATATCCAAAAGAATGAGAGAACTATGAGTAACTCTATGAATCAGTAACTACTGATCAGCCAATAAGTGCAAAAAGGACACTCTTATATGAGTAATCAGTAGTTCATTATAAATAACATATATACGTATTTATACCTGTATTAAAACCCCGGAACAAATACCACAAAAGAACCAACCATTGGACAATAGAACCTTTGTTAATGAGGATTAACTCTGAGGACCCAGGTAATAATTTCTTTTTTCACATTTATTATATCGAATAATAAAGATGTACCAACCCTTGGCCAATAGAACCTTTTTTAATGAAGATTAACTCGGAGTACATAATGAAATGTAATAAAAACTTATAAAATGAAAAAAAATGTCCCACTGTTTGTCACTCTCCCCTACATACATATATACATATGAATGAATATTTTTTTTTTATTTTTAAAACAAAAATGGAAGAAGATTAAGATTTTAGACGATGATGTTCTTATGCCATTTTCAATCGTCTAGATAGAGAAACGCAATGTTAAACAAAGAAGTACTTATGTTATATTCCTTGGTGTAACAAAGAAAGGTATGCATTACCTATTCAGTTTTACACTTTCTTTATAGCTTTTTCACGTGATAAAGGGAGAAAGAAATAATTACCTGGGTCCTCAGAGTTATTAATTAATCCTTCTTAACAGATTGCAGGTCAAGCGAACCCTCATTTGCAAAATAAAGATATATCTTTCTCTCTCCATAACTTGTTCTTCTCTCTGTCACAGAAAACCCAGCAGGGGTCCGGACGGAGTGAATGAATACAAAGATTATTATAGTTAATTTTATTTGGTCCTTTACGAATTTAAATATACCCTAATACTTTACGTTCGAATAAAGTTAAAAAAGCTACTTTTTAAAAAATTAAAAAAATGATTAATTTTGATATAGCAGAGAGTATTGTGAACCCTTTTTAATCACTGAATACAAATTTGACATTAAAATTGCAAAATTTTAAAATTCAAAATGGCGGATGCAATATATCAGGCAATGTTTTATAAAAGTCACCAAATTCAATCGAAAGTTGTTATTTAGGGGTTCTTAAGGTCGCTGGTTACGAATCTGAAGTCTGATTTCAATTATTCAAAATGGCGGATCCAATATGTCG